GTGTGTGTGCGTGCGTGCGCGCGCGCCCATGTGTATCTTGCCGCCATTTTCCGCCCTCTCTCTCAGTTGTTGCCGTTTTAAGAGTGGCATATTTTGACTGGTATGGAAAAATACAGTCAAGTGTGATAAGAAAGAAGATGAAGCCATAGTTCGGGAGAGAAAAGTAAAAATATTGCAAGAGTAATGTCATAACTTGGCACGAATGAAGCCGTCATCTCACCGGAAATACATTTGTGCTTTAAAGACAATGAAGTCATACTTTTGGGAGTAGAAGTCATAAAAATGACAAGACATCTGTTCGAAATGCACAGTACAAGAAAAAGTCATATTATATATTTAAAAAAAAAAAAGTTCTGATGAAATACTACATTAAGACTTGAAATGACACACTTTACCCATCGTAATACTTCACCCGTCAAAATTCATTCCCCCCCCATCTTAAAGAAAAAAAAAAATTCCATTTTGCATGTGCATCTTTAACCAATGGCCCAAATCACAGTGCATCTTGTTGCTAGGCGACCGTGGGCTGTGCATTCAGCTTGTGTTCTTCTTCTTCTTCTTCTTCTATGCCCCCCCCCACTTCTCCCCACTCTTGTGTAGCCTGTCCGTTTCTTCCCTGGGGGGGCGATGGCAAGTGTCCTCAAGGCAAGATCAACAACCTCGCACCTCATCCTTCCCCTTTTCGACTTTGCGTGAAAGCTATTTTTTCGCTCGCCGGCCGGGAAAATAGCATATCGCGCGATAGCCGCAGAGTAGAAGAAAGTCGAGTAGAGAGGTTCTTGCTTTATTTTCTTTTCTTTTTTTTTTACATTTCGACACGCTTTCCCCCTCACGTTCACCACACGCCTTGCTTGTAAGAGGTCACGTGACCCCCGCATTGATTGGCGGCCAATCGGAAGCATGTTGCTCACTGGGTCATAAGATTAGGGACACGGTGTCATGCGATCCACTGTAAAAAAAAAAAAAAACGTTTTGATTTAATGATTTTGTCTTTTTTCTACCTAGTGTAACCCGAAGCCCAAATAATTGGTCAAAGCGGACACGGTGTCATGCGATCCACTGTAAAAAAAAAACAACGTTTTGATTTAATGATATTGTCATTTTTCTACCTAGTGTAATCCGACCAAATAATTGGTCAAAGTATTGCTATGTCATGAGATGATTTAGTGTACCTAATGTTATGACCCGGATGTGAAATTTAGGTTACTAACATGAAATGGCTCCCCTCCCCCGCCCACCTCGCCTTTGCTTTTAGTGATTCTTTCTTGTAGTTAATTAAAAAGTCATCCAGTGCTTTAATTCTTGATGTTTTCTGCAGCCCCGATGAGGACTCATGTCAGAAATTCATCCCATTCGTTGGCGTGAGTAACGTCTCCCTGTCACGTGGAGCACTTATGAGTCTATTCGGGCACTGATGGCTTGTCTCCGTGTCATCCTTTCAATCCCGCAGATGGTTAAAGTGGGAATAGTGGAGCAAACGTCGGCAACTGCAGGCAAGGTTTTTGTTTTTTTTTTTTAAGTGATGCTCTTGGAAAAAAATGCTATTAGATTCTTTTTAAAATTTGTTCAGTCCTACTATAATCAAAACATGCTTGTGATGCTTTTGAAAGATGAATAGTCGGGTAAGTTCCCCACTGAAGGCACGGCACTGGTGTATGGACAAAAATATTGGGACTGGAACCTCAAGTGGGGGCCCAGGTTTCAAAGCAAACATGGTGAAGTGGCATTTAGCTGTTATGCTGCACGCAAATGGAATAAATGAAAAATTGATGCTTTTTATTTCTTTTCTTTTTAAATGTTTTTAAGTGTATTGGTTGTAAATGTGCTTAAATGTTGTTGGTATACGTTCTCGTAGTCCTTTTAATATGTTACTTTTGCTCTCTGTAAAGCACATTGAGTTGCCCTGTGTATGAAATGTGCCGTATGAATAAAGTGGCCTTGCCTGAAGTTTCCCGTTTCCTCTGAAGGCGACTCGGACGACGCAGCGCCCGCCGGCTCCTCGCTCGTGCTCGCCACGCCGCCTCAAGCGTCGCCGGTGCTGAAAGAAGCGTCGCCCACTCCGCCCTCCTCGCCGTCCATCAACACAAGTTTCTGCGTGTACAGGTGAACGAGGATTTGGAGTGAGGTGGGGTGTCTTTTTTTTTTTTAAAAGGCTTTTTTATTGTTTTTAATAATTTCATTTTAAGAGTATCCTATTTGCCCTTTCCAATGTGTATTTTATTCAATCACATTTTTTGTTTATTTTGTATTAATAAAAACACTTTTCTTGCCCCCTGGTATTTTATTTTTAATGATTTGTCACTTGTTTTTTTTTTTTTTAAGGGCTTTTTTTTTTTTTTAGGGCTTTTTTTTTTTTTTATTAAAACTCTTTTTTTTCCCCTTTGTTTTTTTTTTTTATTAAAACTCTTTTTTTTCCCCTTTGTTTTTTTTTTTTATTAAAACTCTTTTTTTTCCCCTTTGTTTTTTTTTTTTATTTTTTGTCTTTTTTTTTTTTAAAAGGCTTTTTTATTGTTTTTAATAATTTCATTTTAAGAGTATCCTATTTGCCCTTTCCAATGTGTATTTTATTCAATCACATTTTTTGTTTATTTTGTATTAATAAAAACACTTTTCTTGCCCCCTGGTATTTTATTTTTAATGATTTGTCCCTTGTTTTTTTTTTTTAAGGGCTTTTTTTTTTTAGAGACTTTATTCATTGCATTCTATTTTCAGGGTACTTTATTTTCCCTTTCTAGCTTTTTTTTGTCTTCTATCTTATTCCATTTAATGTGTATTTTCTTTTAATTTATTTGGACACAGTTCTTGTGTTGTGCGTGTTGTGGACGTGTATCTTATTTTACGGCCGACAAGTATTATCGAAGTATTATGTGTGTGATGACGCCATGTGTGTCCATCTCATCCAGTTCCGGGGGTCAGGCCGAGCTGATGGGCCTTCAGGTGGACTACTGGGTGGCCGATAGGAAGAAGGACTTGGAGAAGCGCGACTCCTCCTCATCCTCCGCCGCCAAGAATACGCTCAAGTGCAATTTCCGCTCGCTGCAGGTCAGCCGCCTGCCCGCGGGGGGCGCCGAACCCAGCACCTTCCCCACCATGTCCATGACGGTGGTGACCAAGGAGAAGAACAAGAAGGGTGAGGCCGGTTACATGTCGAAAGTGTCAAACGTCGACTTTTCCAAATGTTCCGTAAACTGACAAGGTGAGGTTGACCTGGAGAAGACATGAGTGGCCGGAAGGCGCTGATTGGTTGACCCTCGGAGCAGGGCTGATGAGAACAGAACACGTGCAAACGGAATCAAGACGTGACGAAACAGCACAATTATTTTAGAGTTTTTGTTGCGTTGTTGCAGTGATGTTCCTGCCAAAGAAGAGCAAAGACAAGGAGGTGGAGTCCAAGAGTCAGGTGATCGAGGGCATCAGTCGTCTCATTTGCACGGCCAAACACCAGCACAACATGTTGACAGGTAAAGACGCTGGCGTCATTCGGTACGACACGAGTAGAAATAATCCGTGTCTTATAATCAATCACGTCCGTCACAGAGACAAACTGTCCCAAACCATTTTGCGTGTTCATTTTTGTCACAGTTCTACTCAAATGACTCCATTTGATGCATTCTTTTGTTTTAATTCCTCTCATTCGATGTAAATTGACTTTCATTTGAAATTGTTTTTATTTTATTCAATCAATATTTTGAAGTGTTACTCAATGAAATGTTCATTTGACGTTTACCTCACCCACCCCTTTTTATTGCCTTCAATTCAAATGAACTTGATTGTTTAATTTTATTTGACAGTACGTCATTATTTTATTGTATTCAAAGGCTACCAATTATAAACATTTACAATATATATATATATTTTTAAATGTACTTTACATATCCGATCCATATTATTGAATTTCATTTATTTTGTTTGAACTTTGTTGCAGTGATGTTCCTGCCAAAGAAGAGCAAAGACAAGGAGGTGGAGTCCAAGAGTCAGGTGATCGAGGGCATCAGTCGTCTCATTTGCACGGCCAAACACCAGCACAACATGTTGACAGGTAAAGACGCTGGCGTCATTCGGTACGACACGAGTAGAAATAATCCGTGTCTTATAATCAATCACGTCCGTCACAGAGACAAACTGTCCCAAACCATTTTGCGTGTTCATTTTTGTCACAGTTCTACTCAAATGACTCCATTTGATGCATTCTTTTGTTTTAATTCCTCTCATTCGATGTAAATTGACTTTCATTTGAAATTGTTTTTATTTTATTCAATCAATATTTTGAAGTGTTACTCAATGAAATGTTCATTTGACGTTTACCTCACCCACCCCTTTTTATTGCCTTCAATTCAAATGAACTTGATTGTTTAATTTTATTTGACAGTACGTCATTATTTTATTGTATTCAAAGGCTACCAATTATAAACATTTACAATATATATATATTTTTAAATGTACTTTACATATCCGATCCATATTATTGAATTTCATTTATTTTGTTTGAACTTTACTTCCTCTGCATCATTTCAATTTGACGTTATTAATTTTTCTTATGGCATCCCTAATGTTATTTCAAGGAACTTTATTTGTCACATCGACATTGTTTTATTTTATTTTCAGGGCTGCTTTATTTGTCCGATATTACTGTGTCGCCGTTTCAATTTTAATCTAGGTTTGTGTTTGTTTGTGGCTCAGTGTCGATTGACGGCGTGGAGTGGAACGACGTCAAGTTTTTCCAGCTGGCGGCGCAATGGTCGTCGCACGTCAAACATTTCCCCATCGCCATCTTCAGCCACACCAAAGGCCCCTACTAAGAACCTCCGCCCTCCTCTCCCTTATGCCAACCCGTTCAACCGACTTCATTATGTCATCTGTGTCTCATTGTTGTTTTGTTTTGTTTTTTATCCATGTTACAACCGTCCCCTTGGCTTTGATACTGTTCTTTTTAGATTCATAACACTGCTAATCTCGCGTCCAAAACAGACGCCGTGGTACTGAAAGCACACCACGCACACGAATGAAGGATATATATTTAAAAAAAAAAAAAAAACTAAAGTTTTGAAAAGGAGAAAGTATTTTTAAGTCAGGAAATCTTGGATGACACGTGCAATAATAGATATCATTAGAAGTAAAGGTGACATATTATGGAAAATGGGCTTTTTTTAAAAAATCACTTGTGTACAACTACTTAGGTCTGTGGAGTGCCTGCCAACCCATCAAATGTGAAATTAAGCAACCAAGTAAATCTGGAGTTATCTCCCAATCTCTGAAAACGCCATTCTGAATATTTCCCTCCCACTGTAATTTTACAATTTGGCGATCTTGCCGATTGGTTTTCATTGGAACAAAACCGGACACCCCTCAGGCAAGCTCACAACATGAGACGGAACCGCTCCTCGAACAAGCCACTTTCTCCATGGCAGGTAATCTGCAGTAAAAAAAAAAAAAAAAAGTCTCTAATTTTTTATACTTGTGATATTTTAACAAAAACATGTCACAGTCTTGCTATCAAGACACCCGGGACATAAAATGTCTCCTTTAAAGCAAAAATAGTCCTACGCAACAAACAGCACAATGCGAGTTACAGCCTAAAAGTACAAATAACGGCAGAATTTCTCATTTGCGACTTTGACACTCCTGCAGATGTCACTTTGAAAAGTGTGTGTGTGTGTGTGTGTGTGTGTGTGTGTGTGTGTGTGTGTGTTGACTGGGTTACATTATATAGAAAACAATGACAGACGTAAAATGTATCGCTGCAACGTTGTCCATCATGTGAATCATAAACCAAACAATGGCGTGGACCGGAAGGCAAATATTGCGCATCTGTAAAAGGAGCTTTATTGTATTTGTTCGCCAGATTCTTGAGAAGTGCCTACATTTGCTTCATCAAGTCCCCAGTCAAAACATCTCGGCACTGATTATGCTTCAAGGACAACACGATGCACAGCATGATTGTACACTCATACGTCATTTAAAAAAAACACTAAACATCAGCTTGTTGTGTTTTTTCTTATCTTAGGTTGAAACTACTGTTTCCCCGAAAACCTCCGTGTAATAAAACTACTCCGCACACTAAAACATCCTAGTGTCGATGTCTTGGGTTTTTTTTTCTGTGAAAACATTCACATGGAAAGGTGATGAAACGCTCAAAACGCATGGCAGCTGAAAGCATGAAATCAGGGCTTGTTGAAATACGGATGCGACGTTGTCCAGCATCTCTCTTATGCCTCCATATCTCTTCTAAATTCGAGCCGTGAAATGATACGCGCCTCAGCCTGCGGTGGCAGGAATTTGATCCCACCAGGTTGTCATTGGGCTTTCCACGCAGCGACAAGCGACGCGAGGTAGGCAGCATCTCTGCACTGTGAGGTGGATGTGCTAACCAGTTGATCACCGTGCCGCTCATAAAAGGGTCTACAGCAGGGATGTCAAACTCCTTTTTGTCACGGGTCACATTTTGGTTACCATTTCCCCGCCGTTATGACTGAAACTATCTAAGGAAGTCAAAAATAACTGTTGATTCAAGTCTTAAGTTACTATCATGAGGGGTTTGGTCACAACAAAAATGCTTAGAAAATCTCTCTTATTTATTACATATGAGAATTTAAATTTTGGGAGACATTTTCGAAAGCATCATGGAAGTTGACGTGTTCAATCAGATTTCGCCGGCCACATAAAATGATGTAGCGGGCCAGATTTGGCCCCCGGGCTTTGAGTTTGACACCTGTGGTCGACAGTATAATGAAAATGATTGAAGTAAATTGATTACAAATATTTCACTAAAATGACTGAATAATAAATATGAATGATTAAATAATGATAAACAATAATGGAGTTAAATAACTGAATCTAGGAAGGTAAAAGTAAGCTGCATATGAAAAAATGTACTGGTAACTTGGTGTATAATAATACAACTTAACATTGTCACGGTCGAATTGATGATGCTTATACTGTACTGACAGGCAGGGGGAGAAGCGAGGAGGGCGGAGGGATACGGGCGGGGGGTGTCCCTCCACTCCAGCGAACGGAGTAGGAAGCCTTCGCCCGGACTGCCATCCCTCGACAGCCTCCCTCACAACAATGAGAACGGCGCCGGGCTACGGGCGTCACGAGTCTGCGAGCAGATGAGTTGTGAGCACGCAGCCTGGTAGTCACTCATCACCGCCGCCATGAAAGAGCTGAAGGGCTGCGGTATGCGCTCGTCGGTGGGCTTTCTGTCCCGCCGCGGGCTGACGGGACAGCCGCTGATGAAAGACGAGTTCCAGCGGCGCAGGCTTGCCGGCTGCACCAGCCTGTACAAGAAGGACATGCTGGGACACTTCGGCTGCGTCAACGCCATCGAGTTCTCTAACAACGGTGGCGAGTGGCTGGTGTCCGGTGGGTAAAGCACTCCCGTGCTAACTTTGCTAGCATACGAAGGAAAGGGACTGCTTCGTAGTGCTAATTAGCTTAGCATGCTAAGCTAACTATCTGCGTACCAACCTGAGCTTTCTGAAGTGTGCTTGTTAGCTTTGCTTTTCTAACGTCAAAACATTGGCTTCCGAAGCCCCCGGGCGGTGGCTGTATGCCAACCCTGCCGGGTGAAGCTCTTTTTGCCGCTCTGGAGTGCTCACGTAGCCGCCCACTTAGCCCGCCATTCTATCTCTACTAGCATAATCGTGTTTTGACGTGGGTAAAAATAGTCGCGTCGGCCTCCCGGTAGCATGACAGTCATGCCAGGTTTGTGAATCGTGTTTACTGGTTCTCAAAGAGCGGTTAAAGTAGAAGTACTGTTTCAACTCAAAACTGAACTGAACTGAAAAAGAAAAAAAAAAAAGACTCCGATTTGATTTTGAATTTTTGAATGCCAGATGCAAATGGTTTGTAGGCAAGACATTCTACACAAATCTTGAAGATGGCAACACGAACCAATTAACCAATTTTTAATTAATTATGGCCACGATTGGGAAATATCTCAATCGGTTTCCTCACGGAGTTGTTATTTGGTGTCCGCAGGTGGAGACGACCGCCGGGTGCTTTTGTGGCACATGGAGGAAGCCCTCCACGCTCGCTCCAAGCCACTCAAGCTGAAGGGAGAGCATCTGTCCAACATCTTCTGCCTTGCCTTTGACAGCAGCAACAAGAAGGTCTTCTCTGGAGGTAACGAAACCCCCCAGCAACCCTTTTCAGACTGCCCAGAAGATGTTTTTCTGCATTCGTTTCCTTGTGCTGTATTAATGTTTTGAAGAACAAGGTCTGAGGTCCGCCTTTGGAATTTCATGCTATACACTCACTTTTTTTGTGTCCAGACTAACCATCAACAATACGGCTCTGATGACGTTTCCGTTTGTTTGTAACAGGAAACGACGAGCAGGTGATTCTTCATGACGTGGAGCGGTACGTAGAGTTAGCATTTAGTCTATTAGCTCATGGGGAAAACAAACAATGGTTTACTGTTGTCGTTCCAGGCGAGAAACGCTCAACGTGTTCTTGCACATCGACGCCGTGTACAGCCTCTCGGTTAGCCCGGTAAATGACAACGTCTTTGCCAGCTCGTCGGACGACGGTCGCGTCCTCATCTGGGACACCCGCGAGCCGCCACATGGAGGTATTTCATGATATACCTGCCGCGGCCGTCTTGGCAGCCGGGGCCAATAACATGTATTTTAATGTCATTTCTCTCTAGAACCGTTTTGCCTGGCCAATTACCCATCGGCCTTTCACAGCGTGATGTTCAACCCGGTGGAGCCCCGCCTGCTGGCTACCGCCAACTCCAAGGAAGGTGTCGGGCTGTGGGATATCCGCAAGCCGCGCAGGTCAGAGTGCCGTGCCTGAAAACTCACTTCATAGCACCTATGGGAAGTTAGAAAAATAAAACTCTCAAGGACCGATGCGTGAAATTGAACATTTAAGTCGGCCCTTTTGGTCGAAAGCATTTGGGCAAATTCCTCATTCATTCATTCAATCACGTGCAGGCACTTTGAGGGCCTCACAAGCAGTTGAAACGTTTAACTGTACCAGTAAATTGAGATGAGTTCGTAATTATTTGAGTTTATATGCTCAAATAATTTCCTTTCGTTTTTGCTGGGTGTTATGTGTTTCCTTGGCTCAGAGAAGATTTTGAAACACTGGTTACGATAGTCAATGTGAAATTGTACCTCATGAAGTGTCCACCAGGCGGTGTTGTCTCTCTATTTCATACGTGTAAATCAACTGTGAGGTGAATGATGTCATCATAGCCATCATTAGCCTCACAGCGTAATTGTCATAGCCACTCAGTGCTACCGACTGCATTTGTACATGAACATTGAACCCCCCCCCCAAAAAAAAACAACTCAATTCTCTGTCCTCATCAAATAGTGTCCTACGAATCTTTGTCGTTCTCAGCACGCTGCTGCGTTACGGCGGCAGCATGTCGCTGCAGAGCGCCATGAGCGTGCGCTTCAACAGCACGGGCACGCAGCTCCTGGCGCTGCGCCGCCGACTGCCGCCCGTCCTCTACGAGCTCCACTCGCGCCTGCCCAGCTTCCAGTTTGACAACCAGGGCTACTTCAACTACTGCACCATGAAAAGTTGCTGCTTCGCCGGCGACCGCGATCAGGTGGGCCGCCGCACTTGCCTCTCATTTCAATTCGTCTTCAGTTGAATGTCATTTAGTGTTTGGCAGCACTGGAACCTTCCATGCTTGACACAAAAAGAATCAAATGCAGAATTCAATAAGAGATTTGATAGCGCACTGACATCTTGACTCTGTTGGGTTCTGTTGGAAAAACCAAAGCAAGATGATTTTTATGCAAAAGAAAAAAGCTGTCCACGCTGAAATATCCTGACACGTCTTCCCTTGTGTGTCTCCTCAGTACATCCTCTCTGGCTCGGATGACTTTAACCTCTACATGTGGAAAATCCCGAAGGACCCTGAAACGGGTGAGCTTATTTCACGCATCTCTGCCCTCCGCCCCCTCACAGGAAAGCCACGTCTTTTACTGAGACCTTTTTGCTTTACAGGAGGCCGCGTGGTGAACGGCGCGTTCATGGTCCTCAAGGGCCACCGCTCCATCGTCAACCAGGTCCGCTTCAACCCCCACACATACATGATCTGCTCCTCTGGTGTGGAAAAGGTCATCAAGGTGGGTAAAGATAGAAGAATTGTTAACTAGAGGGCTAATTTAAAAAAAAAAAAAAAAAAAAAAGCATTTGACTGTCACAACTGCCCAGAATGCCGCAGTAATAAAATCTCTTAGCTCATCAGTACGGCAATAATATTAGTTCCCCGCAGACGATAAAGAATATATGCATGTGCGTAGTGGTATGTTGTCCGTCTAAATGTCCGTCAAATGTGCCATTTATGTTCAAATATTTGTTGCTTAAAAGGCTATCACACTGCAGCAGTGGTTTTATTAATAGAAAATATGAAGTGTGTAAAAAGGCCAATAAATAAATTAATCATTAACTAAATAAAAATGCGTTCAAATTAATGACTTATTAAACTATCAAAAATGTCACCCAGTAAATAAGAATTCAGTAGAATACATTGAAAAAAAAATCATTGTTGTCAAATTAAAAATTATATGAAATAACCACATGAAACAAATGAGTCATTCAGTACTAGAAAAGGAAATGATTAAAAATGGGATTAAATACAAGTGTCATGGAATAAAATGTTGCCCATGTTCTGACATGTAACTGAATCATAATACATTTATTTTGGTGCATTTGTGGCACTGTCAATTTGAAATAATCAGGAGATGATTTTTTTTTCCTAGATTAATTGGATCAATGAATATTTAAAAAAAAAATCAAATTAATCGATGATCAAAAAATTATCATTACTTGCAGCCCTACGACTAATGGAAAAGTACTACGTGTTATTGGCCAGCATCCTCGGACATGCAAGCGCTGTTTTCAAATGACGATGTGTTCGTACGTCAGGTGTGGAGTCCTTACCAGCAGCCTGACAGCCTGGGCGATCTGGACGGCTGCGTGGAGGACACGTGCCGCAGCCTGTACACGCACGAGGAGTACATCAGCCTGGTCCTGAACAGCGGCAGCGGCCTGTCGCACGACTACGTCAGCCAGTCCATCCAGGAGGACCCGCGCATGATGGCCTTCTTCGATTCACTGGTGCGCCGCGAGCTAGAGGGCTGGAGCTCGGAATCGGACTCGGACCTGAGCGAGGACGCCATCATGCAGCTGCATGCCCGCAGTCGCCGCGCCACATTTGCCACTACGGCAGCAGCAGCGGCGGCGGCGGCGGCCGCTGAGGGTGCGGCAGGTGCTGAAGTCAGAGCGGATGACTCGGATAATTCCAGCTCAGGAGGGGACGACGAGGGGCGCTCCAGGAGACGCCTCAGCCGGCCGCCGTTGGCCTTTTTGGTGAACGACGACTCCGATTCGGACAGCGAGTTCTGGTTGGACCCGATGCCGCGCCCTCGCTCGCCGAGCCCGCGCGACTACGCCACCTTGTCCATCCCCTCGTCCACCTCGCCCTCGCTGCCCGCCGGGGCCTCCAGTTCTTCGGCCAGCGCGTCCAGCTCCAGCAGCGAGGACGAGGAGCGGCGGAGCGCCGTGCGGCGGCGTAACGTGACGAGGCGACAACGCATGCGCGTGGCGTCACGCGCCGGCGAGCTGCCCGACTCCGCCGGACAGGAACTGTTCTCCGCCGTTGACTCGTGCAACTACCCGTCCATCTCCGTCCACGACTTGACATCCTCGGAAGAGGAGGAGTCGGAACGCGACGCCAGTAAACGCCGCCTCAGCCTGTCGGATTTGGTGTGTGGAAGCCCGGTGATGTCGCCCGACACTCAGGAGGACGGGAGCGAGCCGGCGCCGGGTAGGACTGAGGCCACCTCAGACGACGGAGACGGGGAGGCGGGAGCTAACGGGCGCCACCGAGATGCCGCCGCTGCCGGACAGCCGGAGGAGGGGCCCGGCGTTGCGGACGCAGCGGACACGAGGACGGGAGAAAGGCTAAAAGTCCCAACGCAGAAGCGGACTCATGCAGGATCAGAAGAGGGTGAGTGCGGCTCCTCAGAGAAGAAGCTCAAAACATAGCCACCGCTTTTGTTTCTAGTCGGCATTTCCTTTGTTTGGAGGTCATGTGACTTTAAAAAAAAAAAGACAGGATGCGACAGTCTGTTTTTGGTATGATTCACTCATTCATTAATCATTACATCCAGATTAGTGGATTTATTGGTGCAAACAATAATAAAATTGCCTCCTGGTGGCATCTCAATGCTGAGGTGAGTTCAGGAGTCATTTACCGCCGCCTTGTGGCATGCATTGGTAATTGCAGTACAGCTCCAAAAAATTGGGGGCTGCTCATCAGATACTCAGTGAAAATCTGAGTAATTGCAACCCCTCCTAAAAAGTGTTATGATGACCACACTATGTGACAAAATAGTGGCATGGCAGTAGCTTTTTTTCCCCAAAATGGAACATGAAGATGGCGGCGCAAAAATACGAATACTTAGTAGTCCCCCATAAGAAAGACAACGTAGTGATTCGGGAGTTTGGAGTGAGTGAATGATTCCGAACATTGCCATTTTGTTTTCAGTACCAGGAAGTGAAGTTGTTGATTTGGACACGGCGCACAAAGTGACTTGCCGTTTGCGTTCAAGTGTTTGACGTCAAGCCTACGTGGTTTTTTTTGGGTTTCTGTTTGTTTTTTTGTCATTAGGGCATCGGAAGAAGAACACTTTTGAGTTTCTTCTGTTACAAGGCAGACGTGTTGTTTTCTGTCAATAAAAAGACTGGCTTGTTCTCCAGCTCAAACTCTTCCTTTGGCTCATTTGTCATTGGATCACAGGCAAACCATTTTGTCCTTACGTCTCTTCCTTCTTTCGGACCGTCTTTTTATTCATGCATCCTTCCTTCCTTTGCGGATTCCTACATTACTGCATTTCTTCCCTCAGTGTTTTTTTAATCCACCTGTCCTTCTGTCCCGACCATCACCTTAACCTACTTGACTGCCTTCCTTCTTTGTCTCCTTTCTTTCACCTCTCCTTTGTGCTCATTTCTTTGCTGGCATCTTTTCCTCCCTCCCTTCCTTCCTTTAGTTTCCTCGTTTTCTTCCCTCAGACCCACCAAATTTATCCCTGCTTCCTTCCTTCCTTCCTTTAAAACTTCTCTTGCTCACTTTGTTCCTTCTCACAAATTTAAGGCATTTCAGCACAGCCATAAAACCAAAAGCGGGAAGAAAAAAGAAAATAATGAGATGGGCCCCCGTTTCGCCTCCATCGCGGGCTTGTGGTTCCCACGATTGCATGGATTTTTAAAATACACTTGATAATATTTTGGTCTGCCTCCTGTTTATTTTGAGTGTAATTCCAGTGTCTGCCACTAATGGCAGCACACTGTTACATTTGAAAAGAGTGAAAGCAAGAAGCACTTCGGGTTCAGCCTAATTTTTGCTGAAGATTACTCATTGTGTAATCATCTTCACACCTCAACCTGTTTTATGACGACAGAATCAGAAGTTTCGTTTTGCAGCAGACACATTGCTGATCCAAATAGCCCCCGCCCCCTCGCAGTCAATTGCCTGAATTGAAGCGTAGCCAAAGTTTATCAATGTGTTGTTTACAATTGCTTCCGCCGGTTTGTTGGGACTTCTCAGTATCTGCAGGAAATAGACATCCTCGGTTTCACCCTCATAGCTCCTCCGGGACGCTCATTTACGCTCGCACACTCGCGGCGTGTTTACGCTCGGAGCTTGACAGCACTTTCAAAGCTCTTATTTGCTGAAACGCTCATTAGCTGGAAGAGGACACTTTTCGAGAAATGTTGTCATATATATATATTGTATAATATTTTCATTGTTATCGCTCTCATATTTGTGACTGTTTTCTCAGAATTTTTTTTATTTGTCCTTTTAAAAATATTTTAATTATATTAAATATGAAAAAATATTTATAGTTGTATTTTTTCATTTTTATTTATTTATTTATTTTAGGTCCACCCTCTTACATTTGTTACCTGACTGTACAAGTATCTGGCTACATTATGTGACTGGATTCTATCCAGGAAAGGTAAACAGGTTGTGCATGCTTTGGTGGCAGGAAACGCCCTCTCTACCAGGCCACATTCACACGACTGTGACGTTTGATTGCATTGCGGAGAAAAAAAAAAAAAGTTCAATCATCCTGATAATAATAATAAAACATGGCCTCCACCCATTGCACATTTCGTACAGTGCTAGAGCAAAACTCTTCCCTGACGTTTTTACCCAAACTGAATCTGTTCCAATACTGTACATCCAGAATTGAAGTCATGGTAAACAAACTTGGTTTATTAGCAAGGAGCAACACCAATTTCAATACAGTGAAACTCCTCTAGAACGAAACCTGCATGGGCGAAAATACCCCCTTATGTGAAAAAATCTTCATGCATTAACACAATTCCCATTCTCCTGCCCCCCATACGACGAAAAACCCCCTGTTGCGTTATACGAAATCATTTTGTCTGCTCCAGCCTCGCGAAGACATTCACTACAACGAAGTCTTATCCAACAGCGACCTCTACTGCTTCGTTCAAAAAAAGGAAACAGCAACCACCACACTGGTTTACATAGTGAACGATGTTTATTTCGGTCACAGCTGCGAGTTTCCTGGACCCAACATACTCATAGCTGCTCTGCCATTGGCTTGCCGAGCATCATCTTGGCCTCCGATTGGCCAAGAGGGACCTCACTGTCTATGTGTGTAGATACTGAAGCTAGATCCGTAGCATCCGATTAGCTGCTCAGAGTAAATTGCTTATGGCTC